TTAACAAATAAAACGATTGACGAATCTTGATTGTGGATGGGCCTGAGATTAGACTCATGATGTTCTGCTCAGTAAGCAAAAACGGTTGCTCTAAGGCCACCGAGCCCCTCATATCACATAATACCGTTGCTCAAATTTTTGTATCCATTCAAACCCGGAACCAACGACAACAACGAGTTTCGCAAAATACACGATACACAAGCGATTTTACTATAAATCTCTTTGATATGTAAGAACCTGGGACCGCGTTTTTCTGCTCAGTAAGCAGGCCACTGTAACCGACGATCTTTCAAATCCGAAAACTAAAAACTACGAAAAAGTACTTAGGCCTTCATTAAGTTCCACATTCACGCGACGTACAATGTTTCAATTTGCTCTTTACGTATTGTTCAGGCTAGGCCCTTTTCAAAATTTACGCGAGAAATACGCACAATCGTCACCTACCTCGCAAAACTGGTTCCAAACGACAACAAAGGCATAAGCAACGATGGATTGTTGAACTTTGCTGGCTCCGGTGGTGTAGTGCACAGCAAAAAAATGTAATATCGATCAACGTAATTCAAGCTGATGTATGGAATAATGATGTAGGGTAGATGTACCAGTCACGGCTATACGCTCCTATCATGATGTGCCCCAATCATGGCATATAGGATTTCCATAGGCCATGATTGGAACACACCACAACAGGAACGCACAGCCACAACTGGTACATCTACCCTAATTGTAATTTTGTAATTTATCCGCACTCACCCTGGTCGACCACTGTAAACCAATCTGCCGTAAAGCGTTTTCGGTTTTTGTTTCTGGATCTTTAGTTGCCTCTGTGATATACTTACTTGCGGCATACTATTTTGGGAGTGTATATGAGCGTGTAGCATGTACGGTAGCTCATCTCTCATCGTGATGGTGGGACATAGTAGACAAATTAGAGAGAAAACAAGGAGGTATTAGTATTAGTTATATGTAAACAAACAAAACAAAAGTTAGATAATGCGGCACTGTAACTACTACTATTTTAGAGGTATGATTCGTCATGTTTAACTCAATGTTTCAATTGAGGCAAACTATCTATCTTACAATTACAAAAGCAAACCTAAACTTACAATTATATGCAAATGCAAAATGAAACTTGACAAATCATCGTCAATTCCCTTATTCCAGGGCAGGGCCTGACGATTTGAATCTAATTTTGATCAGTGAACGGGCACCATATGGTACATTTTCTCACCATGAACCTATCATTTCCAGCCTATCTGAACTATTTAATAAATGGAAGCCATAACATGGGTTACGCTCCCCCTAAGCGGGCCCTCCGCATCCTGTATCTGTCTTATCTCAAATACAAAATGCCAATGGTATGAATGTATCTATATATATAGGTCAGGCTTCAGAATCGTCCAGTGGGCAGTGCGCTCTACACTCCAAGTTACCTTTTTTCAAATGTACCGCAAATTTGATATTTTACCCATTGAGTGTTGATTAGTCACAATGAAACATTGTGACAGAAGTTGAGGTTACTAGTGTATTAAATAATCTAGGTCCTATTTAGGATTATATCTGAAAAATCCAAATCTGGCCAACGCCCACCCTAAACCTAAACCTGTTCTAATCCACCTGAAATGACTAACGAATGGAAGACTTTGACTACCCAGCCATGCAATAGTCTCATTCCGTGCCTTATGGCAACTTGATGATTCTATTGCGCTCATCTTCTGGCACCACCCAGGGGAGACTTGGTCCTGTACCCAATGCTTAACTTATCTCCATTCCACTCAACTACTCGCAATTTCGTGTGATATAGTGGGCGGAATATTATTATATGAGACAATTCAATGCAGACGTCTTTCCAAATTTGGCAGATCGACAGGTAATCGGTGAGTTAGCACGATAGTTGCTATTCAACAACTCGACAACGTCCCATCGTCGACGCCTGCTATGAGAATTTCCCATAGCAGACGCCAACGAAATGACGTCATCGAGCTATCGATCAACTACCCTGGTTATCGCCTGATACCTTATAGCACGATGCTAGGAGGCGAACCGGAAGAATCGATGAGCTACCTCCCCCACTTTGTCGAGTGTTGTGAGATGCATGCACAAAGTTGCTTTGCTAACGCTGTGAGGTGTTTTCCAACCCTGATCCTAAATCCTGAAAATTCCTTCAATGCACAACCCAACCCAACAAAAGTGGAAACTTGAAAACCTGGAATCCTTATCTTATGAAAATCTGAAATTTTCTCGATAATATGAAATCCGATATCCGTCTTAGATTCTTTAATATTTCTTCAAAACTGTTATCTGTAATCCCAAAATATTGAAGGTTTTTGAGCAGTTGCAAAACAAACAGCGGATAAACATACAAAGTTTAGATTTCAACTCTCAAAATTCCATTACTTTCCTAATTTTTAAAAATGGCGTTTTCGATATTTTCAATAAATAATATCACGAAAACTGCTCCTCTAATCGAAATGTCGTCTGAGAGAAAGTTATAGGAAATTGGTTTGCCTTTTCAGAAAAAAAAATACACACTGAAACTGTATTTTGTAGTAATTGAACTTCAAAAAGAAATTTTTGATCATTCCACCTTTTAAATTGGGAGAAATCTCCTGCCGCCGTGGGCCTTCGATATACTAACGGGTGTGCGGGGTCTATATATGGATGTAAAAAATGAGATTCCCAACTCGCTGCGTTTCCTCAATCGAAAGGGGGAAAATATTCTATCAAGGAAACAAGAAAGTGGTGAGTCCTTTATAAGACGGAGGGGCATCGGATGAATTTTTGACCCAAGCGGAAGGATTGGAAGCAAGCAGCACAGCATCGAACGGAAGAAGAAAACCAACAACGGAATGAGGAAGAGACCAGTACATACGCTGGTCTAGTGACTGGAGGTACATTACTTTCAAACCGCTACATCTCGAAAACGGTGCAACTTAGCAAAATTTTCACAAGGTGCTTTTTTATTGTACATTTGGTGTACTTTCATTATATAAAGTCTAAACAGTAATTGGACCAAGTTTTGGATTTTTTAACATTATAACTTTTTTGTCCATCATTTCTCTATCTTGACCTATAGTGCAGATGGCATTTTTTGTCCTCTAAAACATATCAACAAATAAAAAAATCAATTTTTATGAAAAATTGTTTTTTAAGATTTTATTTGAAATAAAAAAAAAAAGTTTGGTAATTTTTTTTAGAGTGCCTATTTTTTTTCAAATAGTCTTATCTATTATCGGCAATATTGCCGAAGACACCAAACCGATCAGGCAAACAGTTTTCGAGTAAAATTTTTCTGAAGATAAGCTTGAAATTTTTCTATAAGGCCTTTACCAAAAATTAGGCTGGATTGAAAAAGGCGATATGAAGATGCAAAATGGCATTGTCGGTCATAAGGAATAAACCGATTTGCGGATTCGTAGGGAATTGCTCTACTGCAAATTGGGGATAGTGAACTATACCGAGAAGAAGTGGATAAAGGACGAAGAGGAGGCCAAGCGGCGGTCACTGTTGAAGGAAAAATAATTTTGCATCTAAGAAATAAAAATTGTTTTAAACTTAACGAGATGAAAGCCAGTTAGCAGTTAGCGTTCTCCTTACTGTATCTTTAGACATAGTTAGATCTATACTCTCACAATAATTATTATACACTCTCATCATTCAATTAATCATTTTGTCGAGCAGTTTTGGAACGACCTTCTACCAGCAATTTTACGGAAATGAAACAATCAATTCCAGATTTTTCAAGCATTTTACAAATAAGACCCTATTTTCTCGAGGTTGTAGAAGAAAAAATATTAAAATATTGTTCCACGTTAAAGTTCGAGTGGTAGGAAACGTCATTTTAAATTGCTCGAATGATGTGATCCATTGAATGGTCCATTTTTACCATAATTTGTTCTGTGAGGTGACAGTTGAAATACATTTCGAGTTCTTAAGATTCGTGATGGTACGTAAAAATGCAAGCTTGCTAATATTTAATTTCTAAATTTACACGTTGTGAGATGAGATCATTGGATGAGGCAAGAGCGTTGAGGGTACGGATGAAAGCGGAAGCTAAACTGAAGTCACTTCAAAGGAAGAGTAAGAAGGACTCATAATCAATGCCCCTCATTATCATTTTATTTTATCTCGGCTCCGTGAAAACCTTTTGGACATTTGAGCCGAACTAATAAACTAATTAAAAAAAAAATGATGTTTGTCTGATCGGTTTTAGGTTATATTTTTTGAAGTTTTGAAGCGGAAAAAATAAAGCCCTTTTCAAATGACGCTCTACATTTTTTTAAAAAATATAAGTAGATAAATCCTTTACACTCACAAAGTTTAATTGAAATCGGAGAAATTCATCACATGGTTTACTAAATTCCATGACTTGCGAAAATGAATATAGTGGTCACTCAGCATGGCTTTAGTTTATATTACTTAGAAATAAAAGGATTGGGATTTGTGATGATGACAAACTGATTTTCATTTTTGGGTGGGGAGAGTGAAAATGTCAATTCCCTGTTGCTAACATTTCATGGATACAGGGCGGGCTCTTCTTCCCATTCATTGGGGAATCTTCCTGTTGGATGGCTCGTTTTCCGACCAATTGTTGTTGGAAGGAGATTCTTAACTGTTCCAAGGAGATGAATAGGCGGATTGCCGATCAATCCATCCATTCGTTTTTAGCCCTTCATACAGTGATGTCAATAAGTGGTTATAGTTGAGTATTGAGTCTCCATGCACAACTAAATGAACCTAACGCTTCTAACGTACCGCAACTATAGGAGCGTTTCCCCTACTGGTAGCGTGACGAATTAAAACATAAATATGGTTCATAATTTGTTGTTTCATGAGCAATACGAGAACTTGGATGGCTAAAAGAAAGATATCCAAGGTCAGTGAAAAGCTGTTCGAATTATGGAAAGGGTCTGAAATAGACATCAAAACAATAAAAAACAAATGGGTAATGATCAGTTCGTGGATTTTGTCAATAAGAACTGCTCAAGAAGGACGAATATTTTACGTTGGATTTTTCAATAGCAAATTTTATAAAGAAGGTGTCAACTCCAAGGGTAAGAAATAGAGATGGGCAATATAATTCTTTTCACTGAACGGTTCTGAGTCGTTCAGTTCACTGGAAAGAACTAGCTCTTTAGAAAACAGATGTTAGCACTTTAAGGTTCTACAAAGGGTAAGTAATTTTGTGTTCTTCTTCTTTTTTAAATATCATAAAATCATCATCATTAGTTTACACATACATTCATATATTATGAATACGAAAATTTAAAACATGTATTTCGTGGGTAAAACACGAAAATTTCCTGGGTTAAACACATTCACTGTATTTACTTACTTGTGTTCTTCGAAGTATAGCACAATTAAACGCAATCGAATACACGAAACTCAAAACAACTGCTTCACAAAACTCTTGGTGAACAAAATTCATCACAAAGAAAACCATTTCTACTTTACTGCTTTACTAGCAATCGTGAAGGCATCATTGAAACAGCGGTGCCAGATGTATTGCCTCTAGCAATGAATTTAAGTTTATTAAAACAATTAATTGCGAAGTCTGCCTTATTAACATAGATGAGTGGATGTATTTAATGATGGATAAATATCAAAAACTGATTAAATAAAACATAAATGACCATTTTAAACATTTTACCGGTCCAATTAAAAAAGTCACAGAAGATTGAATTCAACACTAACAGGGTTGATGGCAGCAGTGCACGTAGCCTGTTTTACGCTTTCCCGCTCAGGGGTGTAAACAAACTTGCATACAGCGCAGTCTGGCAGTGCTTATGTTTTGTCTACTACATTCTTATCCACTAGATAGTGTGACATCACATTTGCTGTTGTATTGAAATGAAGGAAGAGATGGTTAAGTTTTCCTCGCCATACCAGTTGATATTTATGAAAAATGGGCAGTTTTGGCGTGGGGACATGCACTTCCAATGAATTTTACCAATACATTTAGAAAATGATGATCGAAGAATATTTCAAAAAAAAGAAGTAAACAAAATAATGACCCTTTGTAGAACCTTAAGGTGGCTGCTTGGAGTTTCTAACAAAAGTTGAACAAATCTCAGATGCTTAAACTCCACTTGTATATACTGCAGCAATAATGATAAGAACCAATAGTGGAATAGTTGCTATTTTTTATTTGTTTAAATTTATCATATTTGATTTTTCTGCTCTTAGAATTCTTCCATTGCAGATGTGCAAAATGGAGTTTATTTATATAAACCTAAGAACCCATGTTCAAAACAATATTAAATAATTTGTATATTCACTAGCAGTTAGAATACCAAGAGAGCAAAACATGCGTCTCGATGCTGTGAGAAGGCTCGCTTCTCGGCAACGGGACAGGCGTGCTGTGTCACAAAATCGATACGCATTTTGCACCCTAACTATTCTGAGTGCTAGTATAGTATCGATGATTCAATCAGTTGGAATGAAATCTCAAACGTAACGCAATATAAATATTCAACAAAACAGATGAGCCAAGTCATAGAATCAAATCACATGCTAACTCTAGCCTTTACGCGTGCAAAGCTATTTCTTCTAGCCCTTGAAGAAAGATCAACGCCTCGCTTCTCTGTATGTACCTATGGGCATGCAACCAAGATTAGCACTCTAAGGTGCTGTTTGTAATATTCGGCTCTACAACTAAAAAAAATACAACACCTGCATAATATGCTTATGTGTTTATGCAGTCCCTAGAAATGTTTGAAAATAAACCTCTGATGAACTCCACACACACGAGTGAGATCACCTTAGAGTACTCATCTAGGCCGTTCTATGCATTGTGTTCCCTCCCGTATGGTTCTCTTACTAGTTCATTCTCGTACTAGGTTTACCGTATTAGTTCTTCAATGTAGGTAGTTCACGTTCTTCAGATCCGTTCATTCCTTTTACTTTATTCGTTCCAAAAGAACTACCATTCCTTTTAAAAGAACGACCGTTCATTCGTTCATTAAGAAGAACTAGTTCTTTAGAACCGTTCATAAGAAATGACTTTCGAGCATTTTCAGATGGATATTTTCAAAAGTAAATGTCTGTCGTAGAACTGCTAATTTCATCAAGAAGCCAATTTTTTTTCAATTAGTTTATTTGTTAAGGCTCAATTTTCCAAAAGAACTCCACGGAGCCGAGAACCAGAAATTTTATAATTATAATAAAAATATTAATGAGGAACATTTTTCATGAGTTCTTCTTACTCTTTCTGGGAGGCGACTTGAGCTTAGCTTCCGTTTTCTGAAGGAGTCAATTCTAAGAATGAAACATTAATTTTGAGTTGGATTATTCAAAATCTTTTGTCTGTCAAAGAACTGTTCATGTTATAAAGAAGGACACAAGAGTGGGCAAAGTCTTTCTGGTTTTTTTTTTCAGTTGTATTGTTCGATAGCTTTTATCATCCAAAGAAGCTCATGTTATAAAGAAGGAGTCAACTGTAAAAGAGATAAATTACTTGAAAATTTCAGTTAAATTACCCATGTTGAGTCTTAGTTTGGTGTGCCTGCAAGCTTTACTCATTATATTTCGTTTCCAACTTTTTGTCGCATCGACCTTTTGTCCTTCAACCTTTTGTACTACAACCGTTCTTACTTATATAACTAGCTGGAAAAAAGGCAGCTTTGTTGTTGTTGACGATGAACCGGACCGTTTCTTGGACTTTGATGATAACTGCTGGAAGAGTCCGAAAGTTGTTGCTGCTGAAACCGGACGGATAGAATGCCCGAGGGTAATTTCGGCATTTTAAGCAGAAGTAACCGAGCTGGCTCCTTTTCGGCAACCTTTCGACATTCCTAAAAATCACCATTTCGTCTATCCAAGTTCAGTTCACGTCCTTCACCTTGCCCTGCCTTGACAATGGAATCAAGCGACATTCCATGAAGTCAATTAAACTTGTTCCATTTCATGCCACGTAACGCTTTTTTCTGTCCAAATACATAAAATCAACACCCTTAAAACTGCACCAAATTTACCCTGTCAACGCACATTCAGCGTAATCACACGGAAGGATAACCGCGGTGTCGACGGAGAGAGGAATTGTAGCAAACTGTGTTGTCACAGCTCGTTATCTGCTGGAGATTTGATTCACGGTTACGCACACACGCACACGCACACCCACACCTTGCTTTCGGGTGGATTGGGTCGAAAGCGGATTCATTCACACCTCACTTCAGATCCAAAGCGGAGTAGGGTAGCAACACGACCGTGGATGTCACGTGGTCTTAGGCGCAGAAAACGTCGTCATTTCCAGCTGAACGCTTGCACGGTTTCCGAACCGGTTGTCACTGTGGCGGTGTTTATCACCTCGACAGAGTGTGATTAGGATTCGAGATGGCAAGGCTTTTCCAATTGGAAGATTAGCGCTATCCACAGTGTTGATTGAAGTACAACTTTCCGAGAAATATGGCTGATTTGAGCGTTTTTTTTTTTTCATTGCCACTTCGTGGATTCGAATCGTCGGTAGTTGGAGCCCGGTTGACTAAATTGAATGAAATTTTGTCGGAATGGTTTTTATAAGTGAGCAAACGATTCGTGAAATTTCCACCGCTGAAATGTCAAAGGGACGACGACGACGTCTGATTTTGAACTTTTAACCTAACCTCTAAATGTGGCTACTCGCATTTGAATGAGATTTGCGAACAGGAAATGGGACAGGTCGTTATAGCAAGAGGAGTGCGCTTTCGCGAGATGAATGGAGAACAAGCGTGCTCCGCCTCCGCATCAAGATAAATAATAATGAGTTCCAGTTATGATGGGAATGCAACCCAGATATACGCTAGTTGTCTTCCCTGCGAACGTTTAAGCGAGCTTGTTCCTGTTGCTGCAGTAAAAAGGAATTTATCAACGAGATTTACTGTACACCAGCCCGTGCTTCAGCTCCGCAGGATGGTAGTTATGGAAATGAATGGAAGAGGATAACGTTCAGGCTATACAGCGCGAGTCACGCGAATTACGGCTGGAGCATAATAAAAAGATTGCATTAAAGATGATGATGGCGATGACGGCGTTGGAAACGACACAGCGCTAGGTCGAGCAAAGATTATGGATGCACAATCGCGAAATGCGATGGGAAGTTCATTATTACTTCATTTGCACGAGAGGGCACGGGTCCACTGAGGCGGCGTGAATTCGAGGGAAGGGTAGTTCGATGAGAATTTTCCATTTACTGCTGTATCAGCGTCGGATGATTGCGCTTTTTTGCTGAGTTGTTGAGCTTTCTCGTTAGCGGGACAACAGGAGTTTTAACGATGGGGATGATTCTGCTAGATACACTTGAATACAGGAAAGAATATTTCGCAGAAATTTGATCATAACTTTACTACCATGAAGCAAATTTTACATAATTTAGAAGAGTCATGTCAAAGATAGCTTCCTTATAAATAACTGATTCATGCTCTTTGACTGCCATCTCAGCAATTGAGTGAGTATCTGTTCATGGCAAAAATCGAACCCAGATAAACACTTCTAAAAATACTGTGATTTTTCCAACCATCTGACAGCAGAAGATGGGAAAAGCACTCAAATTCACCGGCACATACTCACACACATGAATAGACTGACTGACTGACCTGTGCACATGTGCTCTTTTGCAAAGAGCTGTTTTCAATTTCCATAATGGATGCTCAACTCCTCACCGGCTGCAGTATCCAGGGCCAGGTCCTGTGTACCTACATTTTATCGCTTTCCCATACTTCAGCACTGATAGCCAAAATGCAGGGGAACAACATTTCAAAATGAATGTCTTTGAGATAAAAGGGACCTACCTGGCAGATGATAGCAAGTGAATTAATTTCTCTGGTAGTCACATGTCAAGAACAGGTCAAAATATGAGGCCACTTGGGCAGGGCTGTACGAACCACCCTAGGATGGATGCTGCTGCTGGATTTAGTGCAGCTCTAATGTTCTGATTCGAAAATACGTCACCATATAGCATTTAATCGGAAGGTTTTACCAACACGTTGAATTCAAAATTCCAAACCAGTTATTTGAAAAAATAGTCTCCTGACGGCAATTGTCGACACTGCTTTTCTTCTTCCGGGTATCGAATCTCTTACAAGAGCTTACGCCTGCACTCAACTTGAAGCACTTCCATAGTTATTGATTGAGAGCTTTCTGTGCCAACAAGTACATGAAATTCCAACCCGAAAGATTTTCTAGACCGGAGCGGGCGAGGAAAAAATGAGTCGATGAAGTCTCCTATTCCTTGCGAGACGAACCAACCCAATTGCGTGTGTCGGACTTATTGTCTTCTACGGTTAATACTTCAATATCCAAACAAAATAGCAACAAATTCATATCTTCTGAAAAGTTGCATAATGAACTAGAGCAACATTTCTCAATGTATGAATCACCACCCACGGGTGGCATCCTCTATGGGTCACGACCCACCGAAGGGCATCAGGTGGGTCCCAGTAAATCAAGCAATTTGATCACATTTTTTTAATTATATGCAGAATTACATTATTTTGGGACACTCATTACTGTGTCACAACATATTGGTTTTCAATATTTTTTCAAGACTATTGAGCACGCCAAATGACGAATAGGAAAAACTCGAACTTCTCCGACTTGCGAGAAACTTTGCTTCATTGTTTGTTATGGACCATGATTCACATTTTTGCTAAAATTCAGCCATTTTTTTTTTAAATTTACAAAATGGCGTCAAAAAATGAAAGTGCTGAAACGGCATTTCTGATCGAACCATAATATATCAGAATGTCGTTGAACGATTTTTGCAAAACAGAAATTAAACAAATCTATGACAAACTATGACTAAGTGTCTAAAAATTGACAAAACAAAAGTAGAACAAGAACTTTTGGTAAAAAGATTGTAGTTTTTGTTAAATCGTTTTTTCATGTAATTTATACTTAGAAAACAATGTTTAAAACATTCCAACAAAAAGTTCCAAAATTTGCATCTTCTAAATTTTAGCATTTTTTGTAAGCAATCTTTATTTTAATTTTTCAAAAAATCGGACAAGAGCGTTTTGAGATATTAGGGATTTTATATATTTTTTTTTTCAATAAATAAAACGCATGTTTGCTTTATTTTTCCTTGACAGACATTATTTTTTGGAAGTCATTTCAA